GGTTTCTGTCCGGATTTCTAAGCTTTTTTCGGGGATAGAACCTCCACAGAATCCCCTCGGTTCTGGGACCCGCATGGCCCTATTTTAAGCCGGATTTAAGGGCTTTTTTCGGGGTTAAAACCTCCGAGGACCCCCCTGGGGTCTCTGGCTTTCCAGTGCTGCATTTATGTCCGGATTTCTAAGCTTTTTTCGGGGATAGAACCTCCACAGAATCCCCCCGGTTCTGGGACCCGCATGGCCCTATTTTAAGCCGGATTTAAGGGCTTTTTTCGGGGTTAAAACCTCCAGGGACTCCCCTTGGTTCTGGGACCTGTCATTGCTCTTTTTCAAGACAAATTTCATGCGCTCTCTCCCGGGGAGAAATGCGCCCACCCTTATTCTTTGAGAATATGTGTGCACTTGTTTTCAACTCCTGGTGGGTTCCATAACCTGAGATTCCACTCACGTCATGGGGACTGGTTTTACGTGGTGGGGCCCGAACACCGGACCCCACTGGTCAAGCTTAATAATCAATGGGTAATGCTTTTCTAACGGTCCTTATGCAGTCTCTGTAAAATATGGAAAGGGACCCCTGGAGGTTTACTTTCCTGAAAAAAGTGTGTTATGTGTCGGAACCCTGGTGGTGGGTTGCGGGATATCAAGGAGGGGCACACTGGGGCAATTTCAGTCCAGCAGGCTGGAGCCAATCATGGAGCAGCACAACAGAGGAAATCAGGTGTCAGGCTAGAAAAAGGTGCAAGTGTGTGGTTCATTAGGCTGCAAGAAATCATGGAGGAGCACACTGAAGCGCACGCTTACAAACCACTGGTAAGTGCTGACTACAAGTCATGACTTCAAATTGTTATATAGTAATGATTACAAATTATTTGTTGTTTGTGCAGCTTAGTCAAGAGTCCCTAATTGATGAAGTCGACTCAGATTCTGACGATTTAACTGTCAAGAAGAAACCTGTAAAAAAGTATGGAAAAAGAAAAATCAAAAACACTTTTCTTCAAGACTCGGAAAGTGACGAACCAAAGGCAAATAAGATTGTTATCATGCAGCTGCAAAAGAAGAAAAATGGGGGGCGAGTATACAGCAAGAGACACTTCTGCCTCTACTGTTCAATGTCCTGCCACAAAATGTCCCGTCATTTTGACTAGAAAACATGGAAATGAAAGTGACGTAGCCAGAGCATTGGCTCTACCTGTGAAATCTAAAGCACGTAAACTTCAGTTTGATTTGATCAGGAATAGTGGAAACCGTGAGCACAATTTTGAGGTTTTAAAGGCCGGCATTGGAACTTTAGTCCCAGCTAAACAGCCAAATTCCCCAGTTAAATCCAGTGAGTTTTTGCACTGTATAGACTGTGGGGCATTGCTTAAGCGAAAGTCGCTGTGGAGGCATGTGGCCAGGTGCCGGCTTTCACAGAAAGATGCCCAGGCTAAACCAGGTAGAAGTAGGGTCCAGTCCCTCTGCTCCCTAGCCCAGCCTGTACCGGAGGGCATCAGCAAAAAGCTGTGGTCTTTAATTTCGGCAATGCATCAGGATGAGGTCACGGGTGTTGTCAAAGCAGAAAAGGGGATTCTGATACTCGGAGAGCACCTGTACTTAAAACACGGGCATGATAAGACAAAGCATGATTACATTAGGCAGAAAATGAGAGAAGTCGGTAGGTTAATTAACGAAGCAAAAACCGCAGGGAAACTGAAAACAATTAAGGATTTCTTTATTCCTTCCAACTTTAACCATGTGATTGATGCAGTCAGGTCTGTGGCTGGATATGATGAGGAAACAAATCAATACAAGACTCCATCCTTGGCCCTCAAACTCGGCCATAGCCTCAGAAAGCTAGCAGATATTCTTGAATGTGACTCAAAAATGGAGCATTGTGTTGATGAACTATTTATTAAAAACCTCCAACGAAGCCGGCTGCTTTTTGAGAAGAGGTGGGACGTCTGTGTTTCTTCTGCTGCCCTACAGACCCTCCGGCAAGCCAAGTGGAACACTCCGGACCTGCTCCCTCTGACTGAGGACGTTAGAGCCATGCATGCACATATTGAGGTATGTCGACCTGAATATGTGCAAACCCTAATAAGTGAGCAAACGTCTAAGCATTGGTCTAAACTGGCAGTTTTGACTCTTTGTGAGGTCATCATTTTCAATCGAAGAAGGGAAGGTGAGGTTTCAAAGATGCCACTGACAGCCTTTACCTTAAGAAGTAAGACTGGGATCCATTCTGACATTGCTCTGGGACTGTCCCAACTTGAGAAAAAGCTGTGTCAGCATTTTCAACGCATTGAAATTAAAGGGAAAAGAAGTCGGAAAGTGCCGGTTCTTTTGACTCCTGAAATGATTGCTTCGATGGAGGTGCTGGTGGAGAACAGAAGGGCCTGTTCCATCTCTGACCATAACCCATACTTCTTTTCCCGCCCGGGCGCAGACACCCACATCAGGGGATCAGACTCCCTACGCCAGGTAGCCAAAGAATGTGGTGCGGTGCATCCAGAGATGCTATCCTCAACCAAACTTAGAAAGCACATAGCTACTATGTCTACAGTTCTCAATATGAAAGAGAATGAGATGGACATACTTGCCAACTTCCTCGGCCATGACATTCGCATCCACAGGCAATATTACAGACTACCAGAGGGGACACTGGAGCCTGGCCAAAATCAGCAAAGTGTTGATGGCCATGGAGCAGGGAAGAGTGACGGAATTCGAAGGAAAGAGCCTCGACCAGATACAAATTGAGCCTGAAGGTAATTCTTGATATTATTAAAATATGTATGATTTTTTTCCCCTAAAGGCCACTTGTATTTTTATTTTCTGTGCGACAGGGAGAGCAGTAGGATCCTCTCTACAAACGGACGGGCTAAAAGAAACTTCAAGCGGTGAGTCTAAGCATTGGTCTAAACTGGCAGTTTTGACTCTTTGTGAGGTCATCATTTTCAATCGAAGAAGGGAAGGTGAGGTTTCAAAGATTAGCCACTGACAGCCTTTACCTTAAGAAGTAAGACTGGGATCCATTCTGACATTGCTCTGGGACTGTCCCAACTTGAGAAAAAGCTGTGTCAGCATTTTCAACGCATTGAAATTAAAGGGAAAAGAAGTCGGAAAGTGCCGGTTCTTTTGACTCCTGAAATGATTGCTTCGATGGAGGTGCTGGTGGAGAACAGAAGGGCCTGTTCCATCTCTGACCATAACCCATACTTCTTTTCCCGCCCGGGCGCAGACACCCACATCAGGGGATCAGACTCCCTACGCCAGGTAGCCAAAGAATGTGGTGCGGTGCATCCAGAGATGCTATCCTCAACCAAACTTAGAAAGCACATAGCTACTATGTCTACAGTTCTCAATATGAAAGAGAATGAGATGGACATACTTGCCAACTTCCTCGGCCATGACATTCGCATCCACAGGCAATATTACAGACTACCAGAGGGGACACTGGAGCTGGCCAAAATCAGCAAAGTGTTGATGGCCATGGAGCAGGGAAGAGTGACGGAATTCGAAGGAAAGAGCCTCGACCAGATACAAATTGAGCCTGAAGGTAATTCTTGATATTATTAAAATATGTATGATTTTTTTCCCCTAAAGGCCACTTGTATTTTTATTTTCTGTGCGACAGGGAGAGCAGTAGAGATCCTCTCACAAACGGACGGGCTAAAAGAAACTTCAAGCGGAGAACCTTCAACCATTCATCCAGATGCACCCCATGGTAGTGGCAGTGCCCCTTCTGGTAAGTGTACCAGGTGGGGGATTACAGCCAGGCTGCTTGGTCCTCACCCTGGGAGTGTATATTGCTAATATATTTTTATTTCTCTCCCTAGAACGTGTAAGAAAGCCATGGTCTGCATCTGAGGTGAAGGCTGTGGAGAAGACCATGACACCTTTCATACAGACTGGAAAGGTCCCTGGGAAGTCTCACTGCCTGGCCTGCATTAATGCCTCACCAGATGACCTTAGACATCGGACATGGAGTGGCATTAAATTCTATGTCAAAAATAGAATCACTGCAATTCGAAAACAAAATCTAAAATAAAATTCCTTTAAAATAGTTGTTTGGTTTCTATTGACTGTTTTGTATTACTTAAAGTCTTGGTAAAAAAAGATTATGTCTATGGGTCCCATTCTGAACGGCCCTGTCAAAGGGACCCACCAGGTAACAAAAACGTGTATGTGTGTGTGTGTGTGTGTGTGTGTGTGTGTGTGTGTGTGTGTGTGTGTGTGTGTGTGTGTGTGTGTGTGTGTGTGTGTGTGGAACTGATATTGGAATGTAACTTAAGTTATCATTTTGGTAAATCGTATGTGGCTATGTGCTGAATGCTCTGTATTGTAATTCACTTTAGCTCCAGGAAGACACCGGGAGGTCTGGGGAGCTCATATGCTAAGTGTCTTTTGTTGTGTTGGTTTCTTCCTTTCCCATCTGCATACGAAGGTGTGTCTTGTTCTACCAAAAGGGGCTTGCAGACTGTGAATCTTCAGACTTGTCCTGAGAGAGGCTAGGGTCTGTGCCTTGCCTCTGTCAGGACATTCTCCTTGTACAATGTAACAAGTAAAAGATTAACTTTGTCTCTTTGTTGTGTGAGATTTCATCAGGTTCAACTGTAGATGAAACAGCATTATCAGGAACAGTACATTGTGCAACATTATGATTAAAAAGTAAAATATAACACAAAAAATAAATACATTTTAAAAAGTCAGATAATAAGCATAATACTAAAACATGGGAGTTATCAAAAAAACAGGTCTGTGAGAACTGCTACAGCTAACATCAAATTCACATGTTTGGATGTGATCAGCTGGAGGTAGTTTTGTGTGTAGTGAGCTCTCTCAAAACTTTACAGTGTGTTTTTATTTTTGTGTTAAGTGTTATGTGAATTACACAGTTATTACTGATTTTTTTTGCAGGTTTTATTATTTTATAACTGTTTTTTAGTCCTGCTCTTTGATTTGTCGTGCCGCTTTGGTCCTCCAGCCACTCCCATGTTTTTATTTCTTCTTCGTGTGCCCCCTGTCCTCCACTATACAGTAAATTCAGGGTTTTCCCGCTGCCTCTTTCCTTTGAAATCTCGTGTCAGGGAAGAGGTCAGTCACTTTATGTCTCAAAATATCTATTCTAATTATGATTTTGAAGTTATTTACGCTTTGTGTGACTTTTTAGTTTAGGCTGTGACTGATGCGGAGGCACATGTTCATAGGATTTTCATTTTGTGACCAGATAAAAGAACGCCTCGAAATCTTGTCTCCCGTGTGTTCCTCTGCACCACAACACAAAACAACACAACGCAGAGTGGAGAAAATCAGACCCGCTACACTACTTTCTACTGTCCTTCATGTTTAATCAAAAATGTTCTCTCAAATAACCAATTGCTTTGTAAATACTGGTCTTGCTGTTTCTCTCTAAAGTGTCATTAAATCTTTCCTCCAGCCACTGATCGTACTGTATTTCCATGAAAAGTGCCCCAAAAACCACCGGGGATGGCGTCATCTTACATCATACACATGAAATTCAGTTTTATACTTCAGTTTTGCCAATGGTACACTGAATCCCTGCTTAAATGTTCACTCAAAGTTTGGAGGGTGAAAGAATTTGCATACGCCAGTCAAGAGTTTTCCCATGGGGAGCCTTCTCACATGAAGAGAAGAGCTCATCCCCAGAGAGCAGACTGTTCCACTGGTCCAACGCATCCGCACTGCTGCCCCAACGGGAGCTGCAAAAGTGACCCTCCCAGGAACAATAAAAAGTGGTGTGAATGATTTTTAAACATTTATCACATTTGTTTTGCGCTATATTTTCTTTTCTTAATGAGTGGCTCTGTACAAAACAACATTACTAATTCATTTTAACTCCATATTTCACAGTAATTGCTCAGAGAGAGATTAAAAGTAAGGAATCGCAATCGTAAACGGAGCAGCTGCCACCACTAAATAAAGATATAAAATCCACCATTATCCCATTCTAAAATCAATCCATTATTCTTGTGTTAAATGCGCTGCTTTGCTTTGTTTCTGTAAATTATTATGAGTGGATGTGTGTGATAATTTGTTTGGCTGGTCTAAATCACTCCTATTGCTTTTATTCCTTCTCGTGTTTGTGGTCCTGCATTCTCAGGCTTGGTATTGACTCAAACTCAAAATGCATGAAGAATGTGAAGTTAATTATAGATATAGGACAATTCAGTTGTGACAATTTTGCCGAAAGACCTCTTTTACCAATTGTTACTGGCATTTTTACGTATGTTGGCGGGCTCTAGGTTTTATTTTGGCCTGGATAGATGACAGTAAACACACTCACTTTAACACATTCCACAAAAAGTGTTGATAACTGCGACTAGAAGAACCTTAAAGGAGACGTATGATGCACAATCTCCTTTTGATCTTTTGACCCTTTTCCAAACAGTGTGGGCGGTTCCCGGCTCAAAAAGGTTCATAAACACATGCACTGACATACCGCAATGTCCCTCCTTGACGGTGGGGGTGTACCCGGAAAGAGAATTACCCAAAGCTTTTGTTGGGCGCCTTCTTTTCTCTCAAAAACGTCGGTACAGGATGGACCAAAAGTCGCTCTTGGTCCAACACTATGCTCCAGATGCTGTCGATGCTGAGGGGAATTTAAAAATTTTTGGGCCAGTCTAGTTTAGCCGCTGTAGACTTTTGAATACACTCGTTAAATGAATAGATCCATCCACAGTTATATATCAGGAAATTCTGGTGCAATCATGTGACTCTGCCCCTTCTGTCTAAAAGCTTCTGTCTCAGGCCTATGATAATATGATAATAGTGTGTTGTCATTGTACCAGTATGACATCATGCACAGAGCGGTTTTCTAACCGTTAAGATAAAAGTATTGTATAATAACATTTCAATATATATATGTAAACTTTTATTCATACTTTCAAAAGAAAAACAAAAGTGGATTGTCAAAAGAAAAAATCTACAAAATCTTTAAAATCGTCTGTCATTTAAATGTATAAACCTCCTGTTAATTTAACTTGCATAATATTTGTTATGGCTCAAAAGTTACATCTAGAACCAAGGGGACAAACTTGAAACCAAAGTTAAAACATTGAACACTGATTCAGAGTGTGTTTCCGTGGGCTATGTTTTGAGTGTGACACACAGGCTACTTACTCAGTGATTAGCTGATGTCTCCTGCAGTCATGCTGCAGTCACAGGCTGCTCCGTGCTGGAGCTGGCCTACTTATGGCCTGACTGAAATCTAATGAAATGTTTTAATGAGCAGTCTGTACGACCGCCTCTGGAGGAAACAAGTCATCTCACAAGAAACCTCTGTCTGTTTGTTGGCTACAAATGTCGTTCGCATTTTGAGTCTGCAAATAACCGATGTTTTCGTATATGCAGACATTGGGCTGGGGAAGGAGAAATCAAAAGGCGACATATGTGAGGTTCATGTTTTCAGTGACACTCTATTTTAATTGTTTAATCTATTCTTAAACCTAAACATGGGTCACAGGAGAGGCACAAATCAGTGATCCTTCTGGGAGCACTTATGTTTGCATTGCTGCAGTATTAAACTCCCATTTACACATCATTCCAACATGAGTTTGATGTTTTATGTAACTTAGTGCCGTGGCTGTGCCCCATGGTGAGGCACGAGTCCTGCCAGTGTCCCCACGTTGGCGAGTTCCTGGGTGATGTGTGATCAGCTGTCATGGCGGCTCACCGAGCGGCACCAAGCGTGGTACGGTGCGAGGGGAGAGGTTCCAGTGATCATTTTTGACATTTCAAATGTTCAAAATTGATAACTATGATGGACAGATCTAGGCTGTTGAAGAGAATAGTGCAGGTTTACACGATCATCAACAAGTCCAGGCCACTTTAGTCCAGAGAAAGGCTCCTTATAAAGTGTATTGTTATCATTATATTATCTAACTCCTTCATCCTCTCTTCCTCCATCACCATGTGGCGCTGAAGCCGCAGTCATCCGTCGCTCCAGGACTTGTACTCCGCCAGAGCTTGAGGGCGTCCGGGTCGGGTCGCAGCTGACCCTGTCATACTGCACAATGAACATACAAGCCACTCCCCTCAGAGAGGAGACCAGAACATCTGGACCAGAACATTCCCAAGAACAGTTCCTTCCCTTTTTGGACTCCCTTTAGAACTCGTAGTAACTCAGGACACTATAACTGGATTAACTGCACCAAGGTTTTTTTAAATAATGTGTTTCTTATTTTAACTATATTTGTACCTTTCTGTTATTTGTTGCTGCACCATAATGCCCAACACAAACCACTAGTTTGTGAATTTCTTGTTCACCGACAATAACAATAAAAGATTCATTTTCAAAAGAAACAAGCTAAAAAAATGTATCTGCCTCATGTTTGAGTTTTATTTGCTCAAATTCATTGTGACTGTGGGAAAACAAGGATAAAACAAATTCCTCAATTCATCTCTGAAGAAAAACATCCTAATCTCAAACTTCAGGTGTATTATTATTATTAAAAGCATGTCCCTCTTTTCTATTGCTGCTCTGCCGTGTTATTTCAGTTTTAAAATGTTTTCTCCATCATGTCTCTCCCCGTGGAGAGCAGGGCCATATAAGTAAAGGCACTCTTATCCCTGCTCTGACGAGGAGATAAGAATAGGAATTACAGAGGCATTCACTGGAGAGGAAAAATAAAAAAGGAGAGATGGGTGGATCGGGGTGAGTTTGAGTGAAGGTAAGAAAAGGAAGCACAAAAACATAAGCGCAGAAATAGGGACATTGAAGCTGCTGCCACGGCGCTTTGGGCATTCCCGAGAACGGACTGAATATCTTTTTTATACGGTGTCAAGTTTACACAAGCGTGACTAATGGTGACAGGAAATGGCTTTTAACAGTTCATCCCAGGACAAGGAAATTAGTTCACTTCTGATGGACTCAGATTCTGAATGCCGTTTATTTATCCTTATTTTCTTATGAGTTGGTTGTATATGTAGCTTGGTCTTACCATGTGTACGTAAACTCTGGTCCATGATCATCTCCTGCATGTACGTCTGGGTCTTACCATGTGTAAACTCTGGTCCATGATCATTTCCTACATGTACGTCTGGGTCTGATCTTAGTGGCTGCAGCTTCCTCGGTTGAATCCCCTCCGACCAATCAGCGAGCGGGGGAGGCGGGTGTTGTAGGTCTGTGTTGGTGACGTCAAGAGTTTGCGATGAATTTGCTGGTTGTAGTTTGGCAATGGCTGCAATCGTGATAGTAAAGTTCAATCCAAATATCACGAAAATGAAGTCGGAGTAAAAGAACTACAGGTGTAAATTAGCACTGCTGCTATAACCTAGTACAATGCATCTCTCCTTCTGGCTAATGTTTATTGTACACTGTCCCTGTAAAAATAAAAACCATACCATACCAATGTTTAGCTGAAGTAATTGCTGCAAAGACATTGTGGCTCTACTCACCACGGGCTCCGTCAGTGGCAAAGGAGTGGAGCATTACATACGTCACGGTAAACTCAGATCCAATCGTTTCAATCTGCAAAAGGAGTTAACCCCTCCCACCTGTTAACGGAGTCAATGAAGCAAATCCAGATCCTTACGAAATGAAACTAGTACGGTGGTGTGGTGAGACCAGGCTTTTAGATGAGCAATCATGTGCAACCCACAGTATTTTTTGTGGCCAAATGTGATTGAAAAGCATCATGATAAAACCAATTACAGGGCTTAAGTGAAAGTTCAGGCCACCTCCGCCATCTGCGAGCTCCATGAAGCCAAATAGAGAAGTACTCATAGACAAAGTTTGGCTCCAACATGCACTGGCTTCTATTAACTTATATTAGAAAGAAAGCCCATTTTAATCTGTAATTCACTTCAATACAATTTATTTTAGTACAACCCCAAAACCACAACAGCCGTCATCTCTGAGGACTTTACAAAGTTGTCAACAAATGATCAGAGAATCAAACAGTACGAACACAGAAAATGCAATAATAACAAACACATAAAAGGCTCTGGTCCTGAAACGTCCCGGAACAACAGTGTCCTTAGACCGTCCTGCATCGGAGCAAAACATCTCGAGGACGTCCACATTGAGAGAGTTAGCCTCACAGAAGGACAGGACTGAGGCTGAGGTGTAGGACTGAGGCTGTAGTGTAGGACTGAGGCTGAGGTGTAGGGCTGAGGCTGAGGTGTAGGGCTGAGGCTGAGGTGTAGGACTGAGGCTGAGGTGTAGGGCTGAGGCTGAGGTGTAGGGCTGAGGCTGAGGTGTAGGGCTGAGGCTGAGGTGTAGGACTGAGGCTGAGGTGTAGGGCTGAGGCTGTGGTGTAGGACTGAGGCTGTGGTGTAGGACTGAGGCTGAGGGGTAGGACTGAGGCTGAGGTGTAGGGCTGAGGCTGAGGTGTAGGACTGAGGCTGTAGTGTAGGGCTGAGGCTGAGGTGTAGGACTGAGGCTGAGGTGTAGGGCTGAGGCTGAGGTGTAGGGCTGAGGTGTAGGACTGAGGCTGAGGTGTAGGACTGAGGCCTCGGTGTAGGGCTGAGGCTGAGGTGTAGGGCTGAGGCTGAGGTGTAGGGCTGAGGCTGAGGTGTAGGACTGAGGCTGAGGTGTAGGGCTGAGGCTGTGGTGTAGGACTGAGGCTGTGGTGTAGGACTGAGGCTGAGGTGTAGGACTGAGGCTGAGGTGTAGGGCTGAGGCTGAGGTGTAGGACTGAGGCTGTAGTGTAGGACTGAGGCTGAGGTGTAGGGCTGAGGCTGTGGTGTAGGACTGAGGCTGTGGTGTAGGACTGAGGCTGAGGTGTAGGACTGAGGCTGAGGTGTAGGGCTGAGGCTGAGGTGTAGGACTGAGGCTGAGGTGTAGGACTGAGGCTGTAGTGTAGGACTGAGGCTGAGGTGTAGGACTGAGGCTGAGGTGTAGGACTGAGGCTGAGGTGTAGGGCTGAGGCTGAGGTGTAGGGCTGAGGTGTAGGACTGAGGCTGAGGTGTAGGACTGAGGCCTCGGTGTAGGACTGAGGCTGAGGTGTAGGGCTGAGGCTGAGGTGTAGGGCTGAGGCTGAGGTGTAGGGCTGAGGCTGAGGTGTAGGACTGAGGCTGAGGTGTAGGGCTGAGGTGTAGGACTGAGGCTGAGGTGTAGGGCTGAGGCTGAGGTGTAGGGCTGAGGCTGAGGTGTAGGACTGAGGCTGAGGTGTAGGGCTGAGGCTGTAGTGTAGGACTGAGGCTGAGGTGTAGGACTGAGGCTGAGGTGTAGGGCTGAGGCTGAGGTGTAGGGCTGAGGCTGAGGTGTAGGGCTGAGGTGTAGAACTGAGGCTGAGGTGTAGGACTGAGGCTGAGGTGTAGGACTGAGGCTGAGGTGTAGGGCTGAGGCTGTGGTGTAGGACTGAGGCTGTGGTGTAGGACTGAGGCTGAGGTGTAGGGCTGAGGCTGAGGTGTAGGACTGAGGCTGAGGTGTAGTACTGAGGCTGAGGTGTAGGGCTTAGGCTGAGGTGTAGGGCTGAGGCTGAGGTGTAGGGCTGAGGTGTAGAACTGAGGCTGAGGTGTAGGACTGAGGCTGAGGTGTAGGGCTGAGGCTGAGGTGTAGGGCTGAGGCTGAGGTGTAGGGCTGAGGCTCAGGTGTAGGACTGAGGCTGTAGTGTAGGACTGAGGCTGAGGTGTAGGGCTGAGGTGTAGGACTGTGGCTGAGGTGTAGGGCTGAGGCTGAGGTGTAGGGCTGAGGCTGAGGTGTAGGGCTGAGGCTGAGGTGTAGGACTGAGGCTGAGGTGTAGGACTGAGGCTGAGGTGTAGGGCTGAGGCTGAGGTGTAGGACTGAGGCTGTAGTGTAGGACTGAGGCTGAGGTGTAGGACTGAGGCTGAGGTGTAGGGCTGAGGCTGAGGTGTAGGGCTGAGGTGTAGACCTGAGGCTGAGGTGTAGGGCTGAGGCTGAGGGTTAGGACTGAGGCTGAGGTGTAGGACTGAGGCTGAGGTGTAGGGCTGAGGCTGAGGTGTAGGGCTGAGGCTGAGGTGTAGGGCTGAGGCTGAGGTGTAGGGCTGAGGCTGAGGTGTAGGACTGAGGCTGTAGTGTAGGACTGAGGTTGAGGTGTAGGACTGAGGCTGAGGTGTAGGACTGAGGCTGAGGTGTAGGACTGAGGCTGTAGTGTAGGACTGAGGCTGAGGTGTAGGGCTGAGGCTGAGGTGTAGGACTGAGGCTGAGGTGTAGGGCTGAGGCTGAGGTGTAGGACTGAGGCTGTAGTGTAGGACTGAGGCTGAGGTGTAGGACTGAGGCTGAGGTGTAGGACTGAGGCTGAGGTGTAGGACTGAGGCTGTAGTGTAGGACTGAGGCTGAGGTGTAGGGCTGAGGCTGAGGGTTAGGACTGAGGCTGAGGTGTAGGACTGAGGCTGAGGTGTAGGACTGAGGCTGAGGTGTAGGACTGAGGCTGTAGTGTAGGACTGAGGCTGAGGTGTAGGGCTGAGGTGTAGGACTGAGGCTGAGGTGTAGGGCTGAGGCTGAGGTGTAGGACTGAGGCTGAGGTGTAGGGCTGAGGCTGAGGGTTAGGACTGAGGCTGAGGTGTAGGACTGAGGCTGAGGTGTAGGACTGAGGCTGAGGTGTAGGGCTGAGGCTGAGGTGTAGGACTGAGGCTGAGGTGTAGGACTGAGGCTGTAGTGTAGGACTGAGGCTGAGGTGTAGGACTGAGGCTGAGGTGTAGGGCTGAGGCTGAGGTGTAGGACTGAGGCTGAGGTGTAGGACTGAGGCTGTAGTGTAGGACTGAGGCTGAGGTGTAGGGCTGAGGTGTAGGACTGAGGCTGAGGTGTAGGGCTGAGGC